CCATATTCTACCTTTACTTTTCCTTTTTTTTTCTTTCTTTCTTTACACATTATTTTAATATTTTCTTTCTTTACCCCATATTTTACTTTTACTTACTTTCTTTCTTTATATTTTAAATTTTCTTTCTTTCATTTTTCTATTTCTCTTTATACCATATTTTATTATTTTCTTTCTCCACACTAATATTTATCTTTACTTTCTTTCTTTTTTTTTCTTTGTCATATTTTAAATGTACTTTATTTCTTACTTCTCACATTTTTAACTACATTTTTACTCGTTTATTTTCTTCTTTCTTTGTTTTATTTATTTATTTTTGTTGAGGTGTGAATTATTTATTTATTTATAATCCAAAAGCGTCTCCGCTGTCGTGCGGGTGATCAATTATTTTCCACCCTTTTCCAATGGCGAAACTTTGCAATTCCTTCGCCATTTTACCGCTTTTCCCAAAGAAAACCCAAAGTTTCAGATAAACATCATTCCTTACTTCCGCCATCTAAAACCTTCACAGCTATGACGAATCCAACTCTTTTCTTTCTTTCATTAATGAGAAGTAATTTCAACTCAAATAGCTTCTTCCTTAAGAAACAATAACTTGTGGAATCGTCTTCTAATAAGAATTTTACCCAATCACTGCAATCTCTATCTATTCAAGTGTAGAGTTAACATTCCCAGATAGTCTCTCTTACCAACTTTCATTTTCCACTTGCACCAAATCTTCTTCAATAAACTTACACCTAGGGTAATTCTTGAGCTTTTCATACGGTGAATATTAGATAAAACAAAAAAAAAAAAAAAAACCTTTTTTCCTTTTGTATTTTTGGCTTGCTTGTCTTTATTCTGTATTGTTTTATTTATATATTCATTAATTTCTTGCTTTATGATTTAATTTTATCTTTCGTTTACGTAATTTCTTTCTTTTTTTCAACCCCCTTACGTTTTCATTCTTATTTTTTGTTTCTTTGATTTCAGGATTAATTCATTTCTTTCTTGCCTTCTGTTTTTCTTTCTTTTCTTCATTTTTTATTTACAGGGGCAATTACCTTCTTTCTTTCTTTCTTTCATTCTTTCTTTCTTTCTTTCTCTCTCTCTCTCTCTCTCTCTCTCTCTCTCTCTCTTTCTGTCATACATTTTCTTCATTTTTTTCTTCTTTCTTTCTTTTCTTTTCTTTCTTTCTTTCTTTCTTTCTTTCTTTCTTTCTTTCTTGTTTTGCCGGCGTAATTACCATTCTTTCGTTCTTTCTTTCTATCTTTCTTTCTTCATTTTTGCTTGCAGAAATAATTACCTTCTTTCTTTCTTTCTTTCTAAAATTTTTTTTCTTTTTTTTTTTTTTTTCTTTAATTACCTTCATTCTTTCTTTCATCATTTCTTTTTTTCTTTACCTTTCTTTTTCTTTCTTTCTTTTTTATTTATTTATTTATTTCTGTAATTCTTTTTTCATTTTTTTTTTTTGTTTTTACTTTCGGCAGTAATTACCTTCATTCTTTTTTTCATTTCTTGTTTGCCGGCGTAAGTAACATTTTTCTTTCTTTCTTTCTTTCTTTCTTTCTTTCTTGTTTGCCAGCGTAATTAACATTTCTTTCTTTCTTTCTTTTTTTTTTTCTTTCTTTCTTTCTTTTTTGTTTGCCAATAATTACCATTCTTTTCGTTCTTTTCTTTCTATCTTTCTTTCTTCATTTTTTGCTTGCTTTCTTTCTTTCTTTCTTTCTAAATACTTTTTTTCTTATTTTTTTTTTTTTGCTTTCAGCAGTAATTACCTTCATTCTTTCTTTCATCATTTCTTTTTTAATTACCTTTCTTTCTTTCTTTCTTTCTTTTTTTTTATTTATTTATTTCTGTAATTCTTTTTTCTTCATTTTTTTTTTTTTTTTTACTTTCGGCAGTAATTACCTTCATTCTTTTTTCATTTCTTGTTTGCCGGCGTAAGTAACATTTTTCTTTCTTTCTTTCTTTCTTTCTTTCTTTCTTGTTTGCCGGCGTAATTAACATTTCTTTCTTTCTTTCTTTCATTCTTTCTTTCTTTCTTTCTTACTTGTTTGCCGGCGTAATTACCATTCTTTCGTTCTTTCTTTCTATCTTTCTTTCTTCATTTTTTGCTTGCAGAAATAATTACCTTCTTTCTTTCTTACTTTCTAAAATACTTTTTTTCTTATTTTTTTTTTTTTTTGCTTTCAGCAGTAATTACCTTCATTCTTTCTTTCATCATTTCTTTTTAGCCGGCGTAATTACCTTTCTTTCTTTCTTTCTTTCTTTTTTTATTTATTTATTTATTTCTGTAATTCTTTTTTCTTCATTTTTTTTTTTTTTTGTTTTACTTTCGGCAGTAATTACCTTCATTCTTTTTTCATTTCTTGTTTGCCGGCGTAAGTAACATTTTTCTTTCTTTCTTTCTTTCTTTCTTTCTTGTTTGCCGGCGTAATTAACATATCTTTCTTTCTTTCTTTCATTCTTTCTTTCTTTCTTTCTTTCTTTCTTTCTTTCTTTCTTTAATTCTTTCTTACTTGTTTGCCAGCGTAATTACCATTTTTCGTTCTTTCTTTCAATTTTTCTTTCTTCATTTTTTTCTTGCAGAAATAATTACCTTCTTTCTTTCTTTCTTTCTTTCTTTCTTTCTTTCTTTCTTTCTGTAATTCTTTTTTCTTAATTTTTTTTTTTGCTTTCAACAGTAATTACGTTCATTCTTTTTTCATTTTCTTGTTTGCCGGCGTAATTAACATTTTTTCTTTCTTTCTTTCTTTCTTTCTTAACTTCCGGAGAAATTACATTCTTTCATTCCATTTTTCTTTCTATCTTCCTTTTTTACTTGCCGCAGTAATAACCTTCTTTCCTTGTTTCATTCTTTCTTTCTATCATTATTTTCTTTTCTTTATTTCTTCTAACACTTTATTTCTATTATTTCGTGTAGATATCCTTACATCCTTACATCCTTACGGTCTTCAAAATTCTTCCTTCATTTATTCCTTCATTTATTCCTTCGTTTATTCCTTCATTTATTCCTTCATTTATTCCTTCACTTTCTGTGTTGTTCGTGAATTTCCCGATATATTTGACGTTTCTTTCAATGAAATCCACCATCCGATTTCCGTTCTCTCAAACTCTCTCACCGATTTACTCAACAGTACGTAAACGCGTACTGCCAAAAAATATCAATTATTCTAACCTACGCATCTGAGAACCGACCAGGAATTTTTAGTTCGACTTCTGTAAGATGTGGCGTGAAACTATAGAAAATAGATGATATGAAAAGGAGCGAAATAAAGAAATCAAAAGCGAACATTGCAATTAAGACAAGTAAAAGAATACCGCATGTCTATAACATCAGCGTATACAAAACTATTTTCAAAGTAGATTTAATCAGAGTGGTAGAACGTTCCAAGATTTGAAATAGGAAACAAAAAAAAAAGAGGAAGAAACATGTCAGAATAAAAATAAAAATGGAAAGGAATCGATAAAATGGAATTGTCGACACCAAGCATGTTTCGATCGTAGATTCTTATCTGAAATTTTATTAATCTCTAAAAATACGAACATTGACACTTTTAAGAAGTAAAATAACACAAAACCTTACTAACACGGAATTTGTTGTCTTTTTTAACATCTCTACGCATATACACCGAGAATGGATTTAACACTCTCTTCCCCCTCTCTCTATATATACATATACATGAAACCAAACATTCACAAACATACGCAAAATACACGCAAACATACACATTTATGTCTATCTATCTATCTATCTATCTATCTATCTATATATATATATATATATATATATATATATATATAGTGTGTGTATTTAGGCAGCATTTTTTCATTCATACATGTTTCATTAAATAATATAGACAAGTGTAGTCTATTTTCTGCAAATTCTTTTAATGACGTCTGATGAGCTTAATAACATTATCATTAAACAAAGAAAGAAAATCAGAATATTGATACATATTTTTTAATCCAATCTAAGCTTTCAGCTTACATAAGCCATTATCAAAGATAACAATTACTGTACAATATATTAAGCAATATACGGACACGTATGTGATGATAGTTTGTTTTTGTTTACATGGTTGATTTCAAAGCAACGATAAACACATGCATATAAGACGCTGGAAGCGAAAATCGCACCGCAGCTCATGACGTCACACATGACCACGCGAGAGTGAATTCGAGAAGTATTAAGTATGGGAAACCATTGGTATAAACCAATGGCTTCTGTTACCAATTATAGACATTTAAGAATATTTGTGCAGATTCCGTAGTTTATTTTGTTCAGGTTAGGTTTCAACTGTTTGATGTATATAGCTTCAAGAATTTTTAGTTTTTATTCATTGTTTTTATGTTTAAGTATAATTGTGTTTTCGACAAGGATTTTACGGAATTGTGTATACGGCCAGGCATGTTGTTTTAAATCCCTAAAAATGTTAGAGTTTTCATTCAAATGTAGTGTCAAGCGTCGTGAAAGCGTGTTTGTGGTGTGACCATCATATATATATATATATATATATATATATATATATATATATATAGCTTATATTTTGGCAGCATGTTTTTATTAAGACTTCTTTCCTTAAGTAATTTAGACAAGATTTGTCTATATATTTTTAATAGAACTCGTAATTATGGACAAGTTTCTTTGCATTTTTATTCACGGAAGAAAAAATTACCATGTTGATATATATCCATTTTATTCCGAGTACTTTCGTATTCTGTTCATCAGTTTTCTAAGAAAAGTCTTCGATAAATAATGAACTCCACAATTTTTGTTTTACAAAGAAAAAGGATAATGTAAATAGTGTATATATTACCTCATCTCATAAATATTGACAGAGATTGAAAGGCCGAAACGTTGTGATAAATATGGCGACAAAGATGTGGACAATAGTCCGAATAATGTAAATAGTGCACATAATACCTCATCTAAGATATATAGACAGATACGGAAGATAAATCAAATCATTTGATATCTATAAAGAGCAGCAATAACTAAAATAAATAGAACTTGTACCTTGAAACAAAGTAACGAAAGTTTACCTAGGAAACCTTCATCAATGTGGGAAATGGTAATAACAGCTACTACACTTGATTAGCCTGTCATAAAAATCGTTTTAATAGAAAAAAATTGATCGTCTTTGATTGGTTATATGTCTCCAAACGATATTTTGTGTCAACTCTCATGGTTCCGATATGGAACCAGTCTTTCGTATCGCAACTTTATTTTTCACGGCTTGCTTGATGCCAGGATACGAAAGGAACTTTCTATGCTTCATGCCAAACTTATATTTGCCATATGTTCACAAGGATAACTGTTTTTTTTTCTATTAAAGTCACAGCGCGCTTGGCTTTCGTTAATGCTCTCCGGAAGTTAATCAATTTTGATCAATTTTGATCTTCAAAAATTTATTTGAATGGTTAACTTCTGTCATCAAAATATAGTTGAGATGGCTAATTGTAACCGTTTATTCTATGCTAACAATTTCTTTTTTCTCGAACTTCTTGCTTGTAGAACTCTCTTCTGGCTTCAGGCTTCCCAGCCAACTTTAATCTTCAAAAATTAAAATATAATGTCAATTCCTATCTATTGTCATCCCAATGCTTCTTCAACTGTTGTCGCTCATAAGTAATTTTTTTTCGTTTTTTTGTTTTTTTTTCTGTTTTTTTTCTGTTTTTTTTTTCTGTTTTTTTTCTGTTTTTTTTTTTCTGTTTTTTTTTATAATTCATCTATGCCTTGTAATCCCTTTTCTTTTAGTGACATTACTGCTTTGCATGGAGTGAAATCGATTAATAATAATGTATGACAGAAAACGACTGACACAAGATTTGAAGTGACTAAGATTATAGTGATCGGGGAAGTACTTTTCTGGAGTCTGTCCTACACTATAACACCTCGGGGGAAAAAGGTTGTCTGATTAGAACCCCCTACTTACATATGCGATACGAACATCATCTTGTGCTTCATGTTGTTATGTTTATGTCCAAAAATAGGTAAATCTAGTTTTCTTATGTTTTTCTCAGTGACGACTTTGTGGGGATATTCGGTATTTTACAAGTATATCGCAGTAGTTTCTCGCTAATTGCTGACTCGCTCATACTCAAACCTATTCTTCTCCAATTCCGACACACAATCTTACAATATCTAATTTGTTTATGTCAAAGTTTTAAATATATAAACCGAATATTAACATGTTAAGGACGCAAGAGTTTTATTTGAAGTTTTATCGAACGATCCAGCATTAAATCTGATGATGAAATAATCGGTTCACTTTAACAATCCCAGAATTCCTTAACTCTTGCTATCCTCAACCTTTAAAAGAGTCAGATCAGGCCGATAATATTTTACTACTTCCATATATGGGCAGAAACTGCCCAGTTTTATTTTACCACTATCCATAGAGTACAAAAGCTTACGGTCAAATCACGCTGAAACACCGGTTCTCGTACGATCACCGAAGTTAAGCAGCGTAGAGCCAGGTCAGTACTTAGATGGGGGACCGCTTGGGAACACCTGGTACTGTAAGCCCCAACCCTTACCTCACAGTCGGTGGGGGGTGTAAAACGGTAGTGTCAGAGCTATGCCGCCCGGAACTTCGTTCCTGGTAGGGCCAACCATGGCGGACAGGTCTGACACACAACACACGTCGGCTAACAAGGGCTATGGTGAAAATCCAAGGAGCGTCTGTATCGGTAACCGGCGGCTTCTGGTCGTTCCTGTCTCTGCGTCTGTGGGAACCCCGCGGCAAGAAAGAACGTTATTCGAGTAGGCCTGGGTACCCTACTTCTGTAATTTATCCCAAGAATCTTCTCCTCATAACAGGAAGAAGCCGGCTCAATCCGCCCAGGGTGAATGCCGCATCAGTACAGTACAGTAGTATAGAGTACAAAAGCGTCTCCTGGTCCTTCCACCTACTTTTTCACCGAAGAGACGTCGCAAACCGATTACAGCCCTATTGATATTTCAGATGAACTACACTCCTGAGTTCCACCAATCTTAACTTCATGCATAAGGCCCACAACCGTCCGGAGTATGACGATAAACTACATCCGTGTCCTGGGTAAGACGATAAACTACGTCCAACAGCAAGGCCCCTGATCAGGAGGTTTTGAGTAGCGTGGAACCACCTTTTAATTGCTGGTGCTCCCAGGTTCACCCTGACCCGCGGTGGTAGCACCTGTTAGGGTCCCAGCTACTGGCAAATAGTTAACACCGAAGCTCACGTAAAAACACTATGAAAGTGTAAAAGTAGGTTTTAATACCAGAAATACTTTGTAAAAAAATATTCCTAGCAATGAAGTTTCGAAGGAAAAATATAACCAGCAATACGTTTTTGAAAAAAGAAAATATTACCAGCAATATATTGTTGAAGGAAAAATATTACCAGAAATAGATTTTTTACAAAACAAAAAATTACCAGGAAAAAAAATTATCGGCCTTAAATAACCCATTGAGGTTGATATGCTATAAAACAAAACAAAACAAACCAATATATGCTTAGATAGATAGATAGATAGATAGATAGATAGATAGATAGATAGATAGATATTACGAAGAATTAAAAATCTTGTTAGCGTTAAATAACCCATTGAGGTTGATATACTATAAAACATAACAAGCCAAACTAATATATACTGAGATAGATAGATAGATAGATAGATAGATAGATAGATAGATAGATAGATAGATAAAAATATTACGAAGAATTAAAAAACATTATCGGCCTTAAATAACCCATTGAGGTTGATATGACATAAAACAAACCAAGCCAAATATATGCTTAGATAGATTGATAGATAGATAGATAGATAGATAGATAGATAGATAGATATTACGAAGAAATAAAAATCTTGTTAGCGTTAAATAACCCATTGAGGTTGATATACTATAAAATATAACAAGCCAAACCAAAATATACTGAGATAGATAGATAGATAGATAGATAGATAGATAGATAGATAGATATTACGAAGAATTAAAAATCTTGTTAGCGTTAAATAACCCATTGAGGTTGATATACTATAAATATAACAAGCCAAACCAAAATATACTGAGATAGATAGATAGATAGATAGATAGATAGATAGATAGATAGATATTACGAAGAATTAAAAATCTTGTTAGCGTTAAATAACCCATTGAGGTTGATATACTATAAAACATAACAAGCCAAACTAATATATACTGAGATAGATAGATAGATAGATAGATAGATAGATAGATATTACGAAGAATTAAAAATCTTGTTAGCGTTAAATAACTCATTGAGTTTGATATACTATAAAACATAACAAGCCAAACCAAAATGTACTGAGATAGATAGATAGATAGATAGATAGATAGATAGATAGATAGATAGATAAAAATATTACTGAGAATTAAAAAATATTCTTGGCATTAAATAACCCATTGAGGTTGATATGCCGTAAAACAAATCAAACAAAGACCGGCCATGCCAGGCATATTGTAGTGAAATACCCTCATTCTCTTCGTATTCCTTTGGGGCGATGTAAATTCCCCTCGAGCTGCGTTTTCACACGAATCACAGCCTTGTGGCACTGTCTCCTCAAAGGATGCTTCTCCGATTACTGTTCAAGTCTAGTGTTAACCGTTATCTCTCATACATATCCGCATAAGCTCTGCCTTTATCTCATATAGCTCTCGGGACTTGTACAGGATTAAATTCATTTGTAAAAAAAAAAAAATCTTCAAGGAGAATTCAATGGCTCTTCTTCGATTAAAGCATACAAATGAAACGCTCAATGAAATTTGTACACTAGAAACAGTGAAGCGAAGATAGATTTTGTCTGTGAAGAATGTTCTAGTCTTTGATTATGAAGAATTATAGTAATTTCTGAAGAATTTCGTTCGCAGCCTTCCCAACACTAGTCCATTTTTTTCAAAGGCATCGTAAACAGAATCAAGGATTGGCTAATCATGTTGCAGTTAAAATATAAATAATTTTCTTTACTTTTTCAGTTATGCTATTTCATAAGGAGTGTCATCGTGGCAAATTTCCTGAATTCATTTTACACACACACATATATATATATATATATATATATATATATATATATATATATATATATATATATATATATATATATTATTCATATGTGTGTGTTTTGTAAGTCTTTATTCATTGTAGCGTTTATCTCTAAAGCTGCATCATCGGAAGTATTTGTTTAAATTTTCTCTTGTGGCGTCATTCTCACCTGATTTCAACATCCTTCCCCTCACCTGATTTCAACATCCTTCCCCTCACCTGATTCCGACATCATTCCCCTCACCTGATTCCGACATCTTTCCACTCACCTATCTTTCGTTTTGTAACGTGTTCTTTTTTTCGCAATAAAATCGTTTTTCTTTCCTTTAGTTATTGCAGTTTAAATCTTCCTCTTGAACGTCTTCGTCTTCTTTGCTGTCATTTATTGCAATTACTTATTTATTCATCTATCAGTTTTAGCGATTTGAAGAATTGTATTTAACCGATTGCTGCAAAGAAAGAAAATGTTGAATATGGTAAGTTAGTTCTTAAACTGTGTATTTTTCACTATTCTCTAATGTCATTAATAATAGTAGAATTATCCTAACACTAAAAAGAGGTCAACAGCTATCATCATCGGCATAGCTGTATAAATTTTCGCATGAATATCATCACGTCCTGGGTAAGACGATAGACTATATCCAGCAGCATGTCTTCTGATAAAGTGCATTTGAGGAGCGTAGAACCACCTCTTAATTGTTAGTGTTCCCAGGTCCATCCTCTTCGGGGATGCCAGCTATGGGCGAAAAGTTACCCCCAAAACTGCGGTCCAAATACTATGAAATTGTAACAACTGGTTTTAATACAGCAAAACGCTTTTATAAAAAAATATACCAGCAATAAATTTTTGAGGAAAAATTATTACAAGCAATAAATTATTACCAGCAATACATTTTTCGAAAAAAATATTACCAGCAATACATGTTTGGACAAAAATTATTACCAGCAATACATTTTTTGAAAAATAAATATTACTAACAATACATTTTTAAAACAAAAATATTACTAGCAATACATTCTTGAAGAAAAGCTTACCAGCAATAAAAATCCTGTCGACATTAAAATACCCATTGACGTGTTGATATTCCGTAAAAAGAATACAACCAAACAAGAGCAAACCAACATAATCTATATGTTTTCCACCGACTGATTGATTCGTTTGTAACGGATTATTTAAAACTAGAAAATAGTTTTAGATTATAAGACTTTGGGTGATAATGATTTAGTGATATATTAGTCGTAAAAGGGAGAGAAAGAGTGGATACACAATTTCCTAAAAATATTTACGCTTAAGTCGACATAAAGAACCCAACGGGAATTTGGTTCTTCAACTAACAATTTATCTATTACATCACAGTCACGACCAAGTTTATGCCACCTGGTATTCCGATGTGGTCACCCATCTAGCTACTGACGACGCTCGGCGTTGCAAACATCGGGGATAATACGTGAAACTTGTATTTAAACGTGATGTGGCCGTAAGTCTTGATGAAGTGGCAGTAACAGTTTCCTTAAGAATGGTATCTCCGAAAAACGCATTTATCTTTACGCGGAATGTGATATCAGGTTGAGTTTAAAGTAAGATTATAATATGAATACATGGAGCCTGAAGAAAAAATATGTATAATGTGCAGTGTTTTGACGAATTGTATTTAAACGGTTATTGTAAGAAAATATTTTTAATAGCAAGCTGCTAATTAAATTTAGTATTTCTTATTACTCAAACTTTGGATGCTAATATTTGATCCAGCTAATTGATGTTGCTACAATGTGTAGCGATATCAGTGTCAGCCGATATCTTGGTAAATGAAAACATCTGATGGGTGTTACAGAAATTATTTCGACAGTAATTACTTTGATGATTAACAGCTAAGTGAACAGGACTTCACGATAAACATGTCAGATGATTCTGTCAAGTAAGGTCACTGAGTAGAACAAAACCTAACTTTCTCGAAATGTTACTTTTTAGGCAAATAATACAGGTCAAAGAACGGTGTTCTCTTTAAGACAATGGTCACTAGCGCTGAAAACAGAGAGCCCCACAGACAAATGACAGAAAATCACACGAGACCCCTCACAATGACGTAATTAGGGAAAAAGCACGCCAGACTTCACATGAACGTGTTTTATTTCTTTCTCGCTCGTCTACAGCAGAATGTTGCAACCGAATAAAATTTGCTTACTTCAACAATCGGCACATGGTTTTATTTCGTGGGTAACCATAGGCTCAAAGAGATATATTGCAATCCACAAGCCACAAGAAGCTGCACATTGAGAACGAAGCAGGCGATTTCTCTGAGCTGCAACTCTACAAATGTTTCCAACATGTCCCATAGAAGTTGCAATATTTTTTTTTTACTCGACAAAACGTACCTGCAACTTTATGCTGCATATACGTTACATTGTAAGGTTTCATTAAAAGAAGAGATAACAAATTCAAGGTAGATATTACAATGTATCTTTTTTTTCAAATAAATTTAGTGATTCTTTTTTTTAAACATACAAAAATACATTACATAATTTTCTTGACAAGTGCCAAATTTTTCTACTAGAAGATTTCGCAACGTTATTATAATTCTATAAGAAAGTTCGTGAGAAGTGTTCATTTGGGACCAAGAGAATTTTGCAAATTTGCACCAAAAGTTGCTCATGTCTTTTTTAAAATTTCATCCTAGGTAAGGTAATAAAGTCACTAAGACACGGAGTGTTGCTGGTGCCAAAAATATAACAAAATTAAAAACTTTATTAAAATGCTAGGACAATAAAATAGCAAGAATTAAGGAGGCAGGTGATAACATTTGAGATTCATTAAAACTATTTTATGATCAAACTTGATTTGAAATCAAAAAGTTGGCAGGTCGAGAGAAGAAACGGGTAGTATAGTACTTACCCTTACATCTAATCATTTCACCTGTCTGGCCACGAACCAGGTACTTCTTAAATTCATTAAGCTGAGGTACCATCGCGAAAATTTCATGAGAATAAATACAAAGAAAATGTTTATAGAAAATTTACAAGGAAGCTACGTTACTGCAAAGGGAAAGGAACTAAAACCGAGATGCTAGGTCAGTACCAATAACATTGCAGATTCATCTCTGGATTTTATCAAGAATCCCTAAATATATTGCAGGAACACTAAGTTATTTGTGGCAGAAATATTCAATGCATTGACGAATGAATAAACTTACAAATATGCATCATAGATTCGGACGAGAGAATTGTCTAATTTGACACAGTGAACTAAATTTCCTCTTAGCAGACCTAGAAATTGATTCTGTATATTCTTTCTACATCATGTCTGCAGAAAAGGTTAGCCTGTCCACCAACTTAAGTACAACTTGTCTGCAATCTTTCCTATTACCTGGGAAACAATACAAACGGTAACAAAAACAATCATCGTAGCTATAAGAGAACATTTAACTGTTTGCATTTTCATCCCAACGTCCTCTGCATGTTTTGATTAAGTTAAAGCAACGTATTCAATATTCCATGTCTCTCTGAAATTGGTGTATATAAGTACGCTCACGTGAGAATAATGTGACACGTATAAAGTCTAATGTGAGCACATATATGTGCATTGTCAATGAACAAAAATAGCTGAAGGCCTCTCGGCGCTGGCCTTTATAGGAACAGATCAGGCGTCATTTAATAAGCATCACCACCTCCCATTGGAGCTCTATTGATTGCGATTATGGATCTCCGGGACTTGTCCAGATTATATTAAATCTCACCTACCTCGGCCTTACGCATCAAAAACATTCTATTATAGAAAATACTTATAATTTTTATTGAGCTTCCTATTTGAAAAGTATGTACGGTCGTGTTTCATACAAATTGTAAATAGTTGGTAACATTGTTGAAGTTATCTTACAAATTCGTTGGCAACATTTTGCGATTCATGTATTATTTTGTATTTTAAATGACGTTCTATATTCTGCAGAGGACCCGACATCATTTATTGGACAAATCTCTGCTTCATTTTGTCTACGATTACGACATTTCTTCTCATGATTTTGATTGGTTAGAATGTTTTAATTCGAACATTTGCCATACATGTTTTGTCAGTATTTACGTTTTTTGTGTTCTCTTAGGTTGAATTTACATAATCGAATCCAAGTTGTGGTTTAGTAATTGCCAAATAACAACGTCTTTTCTAATACTCGTACAAGTTTAAAACTGATGTGTCTAATTGTATATGACGGGGGAGAGGACACTATTTACATTATTCGGACTATTACCTTCATCTTTGTCGCCATATTTATTACAAAGTTTCGGCCGTTGTACGCTCCGGCCTTCTTCGGGTCGTTGGAATGTCGAACTGGACTCTTTATTTTTCTCACTTGGGTAGACTGTTCTAGTTCCACGTGCCATGTCTAATGGATGTCAGTTATCAGTTATCTCCTGTTTAATTTCCTCTCCAATTTCTCCACCGCCTTAGCCGGGTATTGAACTCATAACTATTTGGGATCTAACCAACGCCTTTATCCACTGTGCCATGTGTCCTTGAAGATATGACGACAAAGATAAGGACAATAGTTCGAATAATGTAAATAGTGTACATAATACCTTATCTCAGAACTATAGACAGATACTGAAGGGCCGAAACTTTATAATAAATAGGGCAACAAAAATGAGGACAATAGTCCGAATAATGTAAATAGTGTACATAATACTTCATCTCTGAAATATAGACAGATACTGAAAGGCTGAAACGTTGTAATAAATATGGTGACAAAGATGAGGACAATAGTCCGAATAATGTAAACAGTGTACATAATACCAGAAATATACAGAGATACTGAGGGAGCAGGAGTTCTCTCTATAAAATGTGTCCCAAGCTAAATTCCTTACACCCTTTTCATCTTACTTATCGCAGATTGTGTGTGTGTGTGTGTGTGCGTGCCTGTACGTTTATATATTGGATCGGGTTTTCTACATTTTTCAACTGATTTCAACAAAACTTCACAGGACTGCGCAAAATTACCTTGCGGTGGTTCTGACAGCGCCAAAAATTGGAAAAACACAATTGGTTTTGCACGAAATCAATTTGAGAACACGATAAAACACGATTCTGTCGCCAGAATGAAAGGGGAACAACTGATATCGAGTTATACTTATTATAAAACCCAGGTTGTTTGTCTATATGTATGTGTGTGTGTGTGTGTGTGTGTGTGTGTTTATATATGGTATCGGATTTCCTACATTTTTCAACCGATTTCAATAAACTTCACTTTTTTTTGGTAGGTAGTGTTTCTTATTGTCTTGCAAACTTTTTTCTTTATTTTTACATTCAGAATGCTTTAAAAAATTCCATTTACAAGACAATTGTTTATAATAAAATTCTATTCAATCGATAGACTCATAACGATTGAAAACAATGTTTTTGTTTGAGTTTGGGTTTGACCAATTCATAAAAAAACCCAAAAAAAACAAACTAATTAAGACATGCGTGTCCGTCAACTTTAAACAATAACCTTTGTCAATTTTATTTTTCATTCTTCATGATGGTCGATACTTGATCTATCTCTTACTGTTACATCCCCGGGCAACGCCGGACTCTACTGCTAGTTCAATTCGCGGCTAAATACTTGTTTTAATTACCAAATTTACTTTTGAAATTCAATCGTGGACAATATATCCACAGGTGCGTTTTCAAATCTTTTATCAAAAATGGGGAGTGAATAATATAGATTTGAAAATTGTTTTAGTGCTGGGTTTTATTACTTGGAAAACTATCTTATTAGAAATTTATGATGTTTTTCTTAGTTTCCGTCATTAATTTTCTCTCTTTTTCGTTCTTTCTATAGGATTTAATTACCTGTCCTTAAACATACTCCATTTTAAGTACATTTTTTCTATCGTCAGTAATATACAGGTGAATAATTTTTGACATTGATATATGAGTAATTAAACAAGATATATATATATATATATATATATATATATATATATATATATATATATATATATATGCCGTCCTAGGTATATCAATAAACTCCATCCAGAAGGAAGACCTCTGATCGGGAGGTTTATAAGAGCGAGCAATTGCCGTTCTCAAGTACACACTGACGCAGCGTTGTAGCTCTGGTTATGGTCTCAGCTATGGCCCAAACTGAACTACCGAATTGAAGTAAAATAATAAAATCTGCCTTGTCAGTTATATATCGAAAGATACATGATTGTCTAAGTTTGTATCACGCATGGCACATAACTGACTAATTGAAAAGTAACGAACTTGACTGATTTCGAAATCTACTCTTGAATTTAACGAACTTGACTCGAATTCCTACCTAGTAAATGAATATGACGCACTCGCTCTGTCGCGGAGATAAAGAGGTGGAAATAGATTGGATAAAATTCCTCTTATTACATACTTGATAAATTATTCTTATGTTTTACTCGTTGTCTTTGTAAACTCGAAATGAGCACGCCATTTAAATTCCAGAGAATTGTATCTCTGTCCAAGAGTATGCCAACGAACTGCCTAGTGTTGAGATTCTTACATTAAAAAATCATCTCCCTGCTTGATAAATTTGTAAGACTGACTCGCGTATTTTTTATTTATTTATCGTTTTATTTATTCACATTTTGATTTATTTAGTTATTAGCGTTGTTTATTTTGGTTACAGTTTTTATTTGTATATGTTTTTCTTTTGTGTCATTTTTATTTGAAATAACGTTTATTAAATTGAGGTCATGATGTCTTTCGTATTATGCTGTGCTTGTAGGTTTCTTAGGCGGACGTAGTTTTTGTGCCGGCATTTTTTCTACAGCCTCGAAATCCAATTCCTTTGCGATTTGTCCAACGCCCCCGACCATCATAAATAAGAAAACAAGATGTCATGTGCATAGATAAACCTCGACATTAACAAGGGCCCTCATGTCAGCAGGGACAGCTCCTACTGTCTTAAGCATGCACAATCATGCTCTCACAGGTTTTAAATCTTAATATATTTTACTTCATTACCTTACCTATACCCACGTTCTTGTGAGAAATATATCTATGATCGAACATGCTTTGTTTCACCTTCTAGAAAATAAATATACCTCACCTTCATGCCTCAGGTACATTCTCACACGGTATGTACAAATAACATCATTACACTCTCTTTCTTCGGTACTGCAAGTGGTTCAGGTTCATATATATATTCTCTTTTCTCTCAGTTATGTGTCATGCGTGATACAAGCCTATGCCATCACGTATCTTTCGAGACATGACTGAGGCAGATAGTTTTTCCTACAGTAGGTTGCAATTTATTTCTGCGATAGACCAGTTTCCATCCAAGACTATGGATCACAGTCTTTCCTGCAATTTATCAATAGCTGACAGAAGAAGCGAATTCATACCTTTCCCAAGGGTATTAACACGTAAGTGAATGTAATGGATTCGACTAGAATTAAAATTCGGCTTTCCGATTCCATTCGAGCCGTTCTTATTTACGACATAGCATAATGTGTAGCGTAATTATCTATATTATTGTGTCTCCGTATTCACACAATTTGCGCTTATACCTTCCAATAAATTATTATTTTTCTAATCTTTTCGCCAGACCCAACGTTTTACAGGTATTCAAAAGAAATGAGAATCAATTAAGGAAGAGAAAGATCAATAAAGAAAGAGCATTCAGAAAGACAGAAGATTGCGATTGACGTTGCATTCAAATTTTTGAAGACACCGAGAAAGATTTCCACAGCTGAGAAAGACAACATCAACATAGAATTTGACGGTAACAGCTAGTAGTACGCTTAAATTTCTGCGACCGAGATGCCAAGGAAGCGAAATTTATAAGAGCAACAGCCACGTAAATTAATTATAGAAAATACAGTAGTAAGCCAATTGACAGTGTTTGAAAAGTGACTGATGTCGAGATGTCACATAATGTTACAGACCCTCTTTGAATATTGCGAAGAATCTCGAAATATATAGCGGAAACAATGGTATATTCATAAATGTGTAACATACATTATTATTGTAGTCACGATTATTGTTGATTTTGGCGCGGTTCTGGCCATTATTGTGGATTTGGGCGCTGAGTAAGCATTATTGTTGTTGTTGGCGCTGTTGACATCATTATTGTAGATGTTGACTCTGTTATCTCCATTATTGTTGAAGTTGTCGCTTTTGTAATCATTATTATTGATGTTGGGGCTGTTGACACCATTATTGTTGATTTTGGCGCTGTTGCCACGGTTATTTTCGATTTTTCGCTGTTATCACCATTATTTTTGATGTTAGTGATATTGTCACCATTATTGTTGATTTGGGCGCGGTTGTCACCACTATTGTTGATGTTGTTGGTATTGTCACCATTATTGTTGATTTCGGCGCTGTTGTAATCATTATTGTTGATGTTAGCGCTGTTGTCAACGTTATTGTTGATGTTGGCGCTGTTTTCACCATTATTGTTCATGTTGGTGCTGTTTTCACCATTATTGTTCATGTCGGTGCTGTTTTCACCATTATTGTTCATGTTGGTGCTGTTTTCACCATTAGTGATGACGTTGGCGCTGTTCTCGTCATTATTGTTAATGTTGTCGCTGTTGACACCATTATTATTGATTTTACCGATGTTGACACCATTATTTTGGATTTTGTCGCTGTTGTCACCGTTATTTTGATGTTGGGGCTATTGTCAGCATTATTGTAGATGTTAACTCTGTTGTCATCATTATTTTTGAAGTGGTCGCTTTTGTAATCATTATTGTTGATGTTGGCGCTGTTGTCAAAATGTTTGGTATTGTCCATTATTGTTTATGTTGGCTCTGTTGTCACCATTATTGTTGATGTTGGCGCTCCTTTTTTGATTTTTCGCGTGATTATCACCATTATTGTTGATGTTGGCTGCGTATGGTTTGAATATCCTCAATGCTTTAAAATGTTTCCATGTTAACTTTTCTTATTCTGCTTTTTATTTTTTGCGTAATTTGAAGTCAATTTTACTGCGTAATTTAGGTCAATGTACGAGTTCAATATTTAAACTAATAAGATCGAAACTTGCAAATAACTCTACAACTGACATTTCTTCTTTTTATGTTGACTGTACTGGGACAAAGTACTCTGTATCCATTGGATATGTTCTTTCTTTTCTAGTTCAGAAGATAGGTAGGTAAGCATATATATCGTATTTATGATATAATTCCAGTCAGCGTTGCGCAGAGTTGGAATAGCCAAATTAAAATTTCTACTTCCTTTATCAATGGGAAATCCAATCATTGTTCTGGAATTGTCGTTTTCTTTTTCTTGGTCAAGAAGTTAATGTCAGTCTGTATAAGTATCGTCACTTGTCCTACATAAAAGCTTCGGTGTTTTGAAAGACACTTTCGAGTGCCATGCGTCGGTAAGTGAAAAGAGAATTTAGTCATCGATGGCCCGTGGAAATTAGCATTACCCAGTGAAAACGTTTATTACCACATAATTATAGCTATGCCTGAGAAACCAGGCGCAAACGAATGCGAATTCCACCGAAAAATAAGCCTAATGAGCCACGTGACAAAACTCATCATCCGTATTTGATGAATAGAGCGCACAGCAGAATCAGGCCAGAGATAGGACAAGAAAAGTGTGGGTTTGTTAAAGACACTGGCATAAGGAACACGATATTCATGCGTCGAATAAGAATCTCAAATAGTCTGGGTCATTACATGGCTACTCGACTTCAGAGTATTTCCCGCCACCGTAAAGTATTTTCCCTGTACTTTTTTTTATATATACTTCCATGGGAATTGTCCTGTTAAACTTCTTGCTATGGTAACTAGACTTTATGAATTTAAGCGCAGTATTCATCATTAGATTTTTATCAGAAAGAGCAATAAAAATGCAGAAGGACGTGTACCTACGTTTCATAGACTAAGCAAAAGCTTCAACAAAGTACGCCACTAATATCTGATGTAACTGCTCAGCAACCTTGATTAATTCGGGAAAGACATTAGGAGAATCAAGAACGTATACTGGCAGCAAACAGCATACATGCGCATAGAGAACGAGTTCAACGAATATACTAAAATAGACAGGGGCGTAAGGCAAGGATACGTCTTCTCACCCGACGTGTTCAACCTATACAGCGAGGCAATTATGAGAGAATTAGAAACTCTACCGGATTTAGCATTAGTGGCCACAATCTTAACAGCATAACTTACGCAGATGACAGGGTGCTGATGACAGACACGGAAAAGAAAAATTCTCCTACAAAGGTAGCAACGGAGAGTGTGAAGAAGGGACTAAGCATAAACTACAAGCAGATAGCATGGTCATCATAAAAGGATGAGTCTGAAATGCGATTTTCATATCGAGGACACTAAAGTCGAGTAGGGGCGGAAGTTTAAATATCTGGGAAGCGTCTTGTCAGAGGACGATAACTGCGACAGTGAGATTCGTAGACGTATTGGAATGGCGAAGGACGCACTCCAAAAGAGTCTTGCGAGACAGGAGGATTTTTTGGTAACAAAGAAAGGAATATTCAGCTGTTACGTGAAATCTGTCCTTCTTTACGGCAGCGAATGTTGAACAACGTTCTTCAAAGATGAAGAAGAGACTCAGGGCGGCGAATATGTGGTTCTACAGAAGGATGCTGAGGATATCATGGACAGATCGTGTTAGCAATTATGACGTATTAGAGAGGATGCAAACAAGGGGGAAGCTTATACTTATCATCAGGAAGTAGCACTGGGACATATAATGAGGAAGTAGGTCTAGGAGAATCTGATACTCACGTGTCGAATAGAGGGAAGGAGAGACAAGGGAAAACAACGCATGCCACACATAGCGCGATTAAGCAAGTGGATAACAGAACATGATCTGGAGAAGGTGTCAAATGGAAGGAAATTGTTGAAATCTGCAAGTGATAGAAGATAGGTGGAGAGCTATGATCCTAAATGGATATGGCACATAAAAAAAGGTAAGTTCACACCTTGGAGCAAACAGGAGAAAGCGGATGAGATAGGACTTCTTTTCCCTTTTAAATATTTCAGCAATGCCACATAACGACTTAAGGTGAGATCAAGTGAGGTACTCATATTTCCGGTTCCTTTACTTTTAGCATCACGGGAAAAAGTATTTCGTTTTCCTTTTTTATTACTTATTATTATTTTTATGGTATTTTCCCCACGGACGCATGGACACTCCTTGCTATAAATAGGAGCAGGTACTGCTTTTTAAAGATGGAAATTTCCAGCAGTCAGCTCTGACTGTCTGACCGAACGTTCTTGCTGTAACGCTCTTGTTTGTATATGTTTGTAATTACTGTTTTCTGTTAATATATTTGTTTAACTAAATTCCCCTCTTTGTGTATTTATTTCTGGCCCTAACAAGGTAACAACAATTATTTTATTTTATTTTTTTTTCATTTTCCCACAAGTTATGTCCACCAGATTTGTTTTACTGATGCGGTAGTTTTTTGGCGGCAAATGTATCCATGCTTTCTGTTTTTAATAAATCAGTCATGGTTTTAATTAATTTTAAAACTTTATTATTATTATTATTATTATTATTAATATTTTCGATTTTCTGCTATTCTACCATTTTTTTCGTTTTTTCGATTCATAAATTTAAAAACACATGACAATGTGAATCGGATTTTTTTAATTATATCCAATTTTCTGTGGCGATTTTTTTTTCATTGAATATGCTCTTTATAGCATTTCATTACTAAACCTATTCTTTTGTTTTTTGTTTTGTTTTTTATTTTGTTTTTTTTTTTTTGCTTTTTTTTTTCAAAATATTTTCCTCTCTTTCTTCTTGTATATTTCCACCTGTTTTTTTTTTTCCTTTCTTTAGCATTTAATTTTTTTTAATAAAAACTCGGTCGAACAACGGTGTCAGTTCGAGTTAAAATTGATTTGCACATTCGGCGTCAAACGACCCATTTTGATTGCTGATTCGTTACGAAAGATATCTGATCTGTAATGGCCTGAACGGAAGTGTTAAAAACGCATATCGCAACCTTCCCAGCAGCCCGCCGTTGATGAAATGCTTCGATCGACACATGGGGCACGAAAGGAAACGGAAAATGCATGTGCACATTCCCTTAAATTGCATTATATGAATAACAACATAGCTATTGAAACAAAAAAAGATCCCACATCATATCATTTTTTAGGGAATTAAAGTTCCTTTTCTAAACAAATGAATATGTTTTAAGTATAGGTAATAATCTACATGTTGTATAATTACAACGTATAGCTGACCACTGATATACGAAGATAAGTCTACTAGAGAGGCTGGCCAATCCTTATTGAAGACGCTTACTCAGGCGCATTTGTGTTTATTCACCAACTACAGAGCCCACGTGTGGTTTATACAGCAACTATCCTAAGCATACATTATTTATAGTTACTGTGAAAGAGCGTGCTATTTAGCGTGATCAACAATTTGAACAAGGCTCGCACGCTTAAACCCTTGGCCGCAATGTCTTGTGACTTCGTGCTAACACAGCTATCGACGGCCCTCAATGTACTCAATTTCACTGACATGGCTTAGGTCAACCCGTTGTATGGTTTTCAGTCACTTCCCAAAGATCCTTCCGCTGAGATTGACATCTTCAGTCTGGTAACATCAGGAAGTCTTCTTCCTGAAAAATTGACCATGGTGAGATTCGAACCCGAGTCTCATGGTCACAATGAGAACTTTTTAACTACACGGCCACGTTCGCATAATAACAACGTATTCATATAAGTAAATGTGCATAAGTTTGTTCAATGCATTGGATTGAGCGCCTGCAATTCGCTAATTATTAATTATTAATCATTTATCATTTCAGCACATCAATGGCGAACTCTATGCTAAGGCATGAGAAGAAATGGCATTTTTTAAATTGTTACGATACGCGCAAAGACTTAAGATTTTGAAATTGCAAGTTGCCATGTTGTTTGTGCCCAAAGTTCTGAAGGAATTGGAAATCTCCCTCGGGGATGTGTCGTCTGTAGCGAAGCGCAAAAGATTCACAGCGTTTGGACAATATCGGGAGACGGCAAGTCGTACAGCCGGCGAAGGACATTATTGTTCCAATTCTCGAAACATCCGTGAACCCCATTAGCAAAGATCTCCAGGTGTCCGAGGGCACAATCTGCGATGTGGTGCATGAGGATATTCAGTTCAAGTCACACTTTATCAGGAAAGAGCATTTCGTTTTGGCACACACACAAACACACACACTCTCTCTCTCACACACATATACACACACAAGAATAACGGTAGTTCTATGCAAAAAAGATTAATGAACAATTTGAAACAACCATTAGAAACTGGCATTCTCTGTTTAACTTTTAAGACGAAAAAATTTCGGCCAGGATCCAAAAATGACTTGGGGAAATGACAGGTCGTTATGTGCACATCCTTCAGATTTCGCCCATCTTATACACAAGTTTCCAGCTTCTTTGATGGTTTTAGGGGTGATGATTAGTGAAGGACACGCCACGCGACACCACAATCATCATCTTAAAGCCATCAGAGAAGGGACTTCATCAGTGCCTTTGG